CCCTTATATTTACTGTTAAGTTGACCTGCATATAGTGGTCACCTGTATATAACGGATGCGGTCACCCTTTAGACTTCCTGAATCCACAATTTCATTATCTTTTACCTGTATATAACGGTCATGAAATTGGGTTACGACTAACAAATAATGACAAGCTTTATTCATCAGCTCGTTAAATAGCAGCCACTAAGACAAGGGTCTCACAAAAATACAAATATTAGTACTAAACATGATCAGTAATACATGAACATGAAGAACTTTCTTTCACACTGAGTAAAATTAATGACATACCACATGAAATCAAGCTTCGAGCTCCGAAATATCAGAAAACTATTACCGATTTTTTTTCTCTTCTTGAGATCCATATTGTTACGTTAAAAGCTTTTCCTTATAATTTTATGAGGTGATTTGTTTTTATATGGGGTCACACAACTCTTATACAAACTATCCTCGTGGCTTATTTTTTTTGTTTGTTGTTCTGTAAATCTGCCATTAAATTGTAATAAATACAAGGAAACGTAGATCCCAGTATACTGCAACTCCCTTAAAGTACACCACAGACATTTTGTGGGCCTTTTTTTTATCGTCTTTATTTCGTTGCTGTTACCGTTATCAAGTTGTCAATAAAACATAAATTGAGTGATTATTTGCACATAAAAATGCTATTTATTGACTACCAGGGGAGTTTAAGGGAAACCTGTGTACAGCAGTCACCCTGTATATAATGGTCACCTAGCCATTTCCCAAGGGTGACTGTTATAAGCAGGTTTGACTGTACCTCCATTATTTATATACTGTACCATATTGAAAAACTGACAGGAATAAAAATAAATACTGGTTGAAATATAACAGATTAAACATATGTCAGTAGAAATCATGTCCATACTATTACAGAACTAAAATTATAGATGAGGGTTTCAGTTTGAAGTGTTCTCTGTTTTCGATATTAGAGAGAATGGTGTTCACTAAATAAACAAATGTTCAATCCTAGATCATGTAATTAAAAGCATATTTCTCAAGATTCCAATTTTGATTTCCTTTAATTTCTTTCAAAACTTTTTTCCAAAATTTCAGTTGCCAAACTGGGGATGCAGTTTATCTGTGAGTGCAGCTTATCCACTGGTGTTTATGGTATATAGATTTTACAACTGACTGACTGACGTGTATAGTATTAGACATTTCTTTGTAAAGTTCCATGAGTGTAGGCATGGCGCTATATACAAGTGATCACTATCATCATCATCATCATTTATAAATTATTAATAATTATTAGTATTATCTATTATTATTATTATTATTATCATCATTATTATTATTATTATAAGTCCTTAAAGTCTTGCCGCTTTTAACTTATGGTGCCAAGTTCAATCCGCGAGCCTAGGGCAGTCATAAGTCTGCTGGATTACTTGATGGATAGAATCCTCCTAAGTATGTGAGCAGTTCCAAAGAGGACGGTCTTCTGTAGCTCTGTTATTCTAATATTACCTGGAATCTTGCCGATGTAGTCTTCTGTTCCCTTCTTGACAAGCCCAAAAGTTCCAATGATCACTGGGACAGTTGTTGTTTTCATTCCCCACGTTTTCTCAATTTTATTATTATTAT